TTGTAGTAATGTTGTAGTTTAGTGTGAAATAATTATTGTAGTAATGTATTGTTTAGTGAGAAATAATTCATGTAGTAATGTATAGATTAAAATAATGCCTGTATTAATGTATAGTATATTGTGAAATAATCCATGTAGTAATTTATAATATACAGTGAAATAATTCTTATAGTAATGTCTAGTATAGTGTAAAATAATTCTTCTAGTAATGTAGTGTGAAATAATTCTTGTAGTAATGTATTGTATAGTGTGAATAATTCTGGTAGTAATTTATAGTACAGAGTGAAAAAATTCATGCATAGTATAGTCTGAAATATTTTATCTAGTAATGTATAGTAGAACGTTAAATAATTATTGTAAAATTTATAGAATATTGTGAAATAATTCATGTTGTAATTTATAATATAATGTGAAAAAATTCTTGTAGTAATGTATAGTATATTGTGAAATAATTCTTGTAGTAATGTTTTGCATAGCATGAAATAATTCATGTAATAATGTATAGTATGGTATAGTGAAAAATAATTGTTATAGTAATGTATATTTTTTGTGAAATAATTCATAATATAATGTATAGTATAGTGTGAAATAATTCTCGTAGTAATATATATTATAGTATAAATTGATTGTTGTAGTAAAGCGTAGTATAGTGTGAAATAATTCTTGTAGTAATGTACAGTTTAGTGTGATATAATTCTTCTCGTTATGTATAATATATTGAGAAATAATTCATGTAGTAATGTATAGTATCGTGTGAAATAATTCTTGTAGCAATGTATGGTATATGTGAAAAAAGTCTTGTAGTAATGTATAGTATAGTTTGAAATAATTCTTGTAGTAATATATGATATAGGTGAAATAATCCCTGTAATAATGTATAGCATAGTGTGAAATAATTCTTGTAGCAATGTTTTGTATAGTGTGAAATAATTTTTGTGGTAATGTATTGTTTAGTGTGAAATATTTCCTGTAATAATGTGTAGAATAGAGTGAAATAATTCTTGTAGTAATGTATTTTATAGTGTGAAATAATTCTTATAGTAATATATGATAATATCTGAAATAATGCCTGTAGTAATGCATAGTATAGTGTGAAATAATTCTTGTAGTAATATATAGCATAGTGAGACATTTTTCATGTAGTAATGTATAGTACAGTGTAAAATTATTCTTGTAGTAATACATATTATAGCGTGAAATAATTCTTGTCGTAATGTTTTGTATAGTGTGAAATAATTCATGTAATAATGCATTGTATAGTTATAAATAATTCATGTAATATTGTATTGAACAGTGCGAAATATTTCGTGTAGTAAAGTATAGTAGAGTGTGAAATAATTCTAGTAGTAATGTATGGTATAGTGTGATATAATTCCTGTAGTTATTATAGTATAGTGTGAAATAATTCTTGTAGGAATGTATAGGATAGTGTGAAATAATTCATGTAGTAATGTATAGTATGATGTGAAATAATTCTTGTAGTAAGCCATTGTATAGTGTGATATAATTCATGTACTACTGTATAGTAATGTGTGAAATCATTGTTGTAGTAATGCATATTAGAATGTGAAATAATTCTTGTAGCAATGTATTGTATAGTCCGAAATATTTCATGTAATAATGTGTTGAATAGAGTGAAATAATTCTTGTAGTAATGTATAGTGGTGTGTGGAATAATTCTTGTGGTAATGCATATTATAGCGTGAAATAATTCTTATCGTAATGTTTTGTATAGTGTGAAATAATTCTTGTAATAATGCATTGTATATGTATAAATAATTCATGTAATAATGTATTAAACAGTGCGAAATAATTCTTGTAGTAATGTATAGTAGAGTGTGAAATAATTATAGTAGTAATGTATGGTATAGTGTGAAATAATTCATCTAGCGATTATAGTATAGTGTGAAATAATTCTTGTAGTAATGTATAGTATAGTGTGATATAATTATTGTAGTATTGTATAGTATAGTGTGAAATAATTCTTGTAGTAATGCATAATATATTTTGAAATAATTCTTGTAGTAATGTATGTATTGTGTGAAATAATTTTTGTAGTTATAGTATAATTATAGTATGAAATAATTCTTGTAGAAATGTATAGTATAGTCTGAAATAATTCTTTTAGTAATGCATAGCATAACGTTAAATCATTCTTGTAGCAATATATGGTATAGTGTGAAAAAATTCAAGTAGTAATATATAGTATAGTGTGAAATAATTCTTGTAGTAATGTATTGTTTAGTGTGAAATAATTCATGTAGTAATGCATAGTATAGTTTGAAATAATTCCTGTATTAATGTATCGTATATTGCGAAATAATCCATGTAGTAATTTATAATATACTGTGAAATAATTCTTGTATTAATGTATAGTATAGTGTAAAATAATACTTGTAGTAATGTATAGTATAGTGTGAAATATTTATTGTAGTAATTTATAGTATAGTGTGAAATAATTCATGTAGTAATGCATAGTAGAACGTTAAATAATTATTGTAGTAATGTATGGTATAGTTTGAAATAATTCTTGTAGTAATGTATAATATAGTGTGAAATATTTCTTGTAGTAATATATTGTATAGTGTTAAATAATTCATGTAGTAATGTATTATATAGTGTGAAATAATTTATGTAGTAATATATAGTATAGTTTGAAGTAATTCTTGTCGTAATTTATAGGATAGTGGGAATCAATTCTTGTAATAATGTATTGTATTTTGTGAAATGATTCTTGTAGTAATGTATGGTCTAGTGTGAAATAATGCTTGTATTAATCTCTGGTATACTGTGAAATAATTCTTGTAGTAATGTATAGTACAGTGTGTGTTTATTCTTGTACTAATGCATAGTATAGTGTGGGATAATTATTGTAAAAGTCTGTATATAATTGATGGAGTTAGGATTCTTTTTTACTGTCCATCGTTTTCTTTGCCAAAGGAAATAAAATATTGTATGAATGATAAGAAACAGATAATGAAGAAAGACAAAAAAAGAAAAAAGCCGAATGAATTTTAACATCTTTTTTCCTAAAATTAATTTTTAGTCTGACACTAAGCCACAAATGTGATGCAACCAAGATTGAACGAAATATCTGTTAGTTTATAAAGAAACAAATTTTAAAATATTTCTTATTAAAAAAATTTATAAAATATTACATTATCAAAATATGTGACATAACTACAAAGCAATATGTTTTATTTACCATTTTGTAAATAATTATGAAAAAAAAATAACAAATTTTAATCATGATTTTATAAAAAATATCAATGGACTACAAAATAAGAAAATTTGAATAAACATGATATTTCATTTTTTGAAACAATAACCATTGATGAAAGGATGAAAAGTGTATACAATAACAGCGGTGTCAAAGGAATAACCGTCCTTTTGACAAGCCTTTTTTTTGTTTGTCAAGAATGTTAATTTTCATTTTATGTGCCGTTTCCTTTCAGGACCTAGGCGATCATGGCTCTTCACCTCCCTCTATCCCTTGCAGCTCTGAACAAGTTCCTTGCCTCTGCGACCTCCATGAGACCACTTTCTGTCATCCACGGTGGAGTAATGGATAGCCGCACGGATTGAGGAATCGGAGAGCCGAGTTCGATTTCCAGTCGAATCCATTGCATTCACTTATGTGCTAATACCCCTGGGAAAGGTATGAATCTTCTTCTCCCCACCCCTCCTAGTTATGGGTAAATAGCAGGACAGACAAGGTTCTATAGCCTTGGATGGAAACTGGTCTACCGCAGAAAGTAATGGCAACCTACTGCTGGAAAAAATCTGCCTAGTCATCTATGTATGGAAATATACATGGTTTCTAAGCTTGTATCGCACATGGCACATAACTAAACTGATTATTATTAAAATAGAAAGAAAGAGAGAAAGAAAGAAAGACCGATGCCATATATAAATATAATATATATATGTAAATAGAAGGACAAACCGGGTTCTGTAGCCTTGGATGGCAACTAGTCTACTGCGGGGAAATATCTGCCTCGTCAGTCATGTATCGAAAAATACATGATCGCCTAAGCGTGTATCACGCATGACACATAACTGACTGATATTCACATGTGCTAATACCCTTGGGAAAGATATGAAATCCTCTTCTTCTCCCCTAGCTATGGGTAAATAGCAGGACAGACCGGATTCTATAGCTTTGAACCTCCCACAAGTACTAGAAAGATTGATAACAGTGGATTAAAAAAGTCTAATTCTTTAAAAAAAAAACACAACTTTAATGTCGATTGAAATTTATAAAAACGTTTTTATTAAACACTAACCGTTCGTTTATTAAATTCTGAATATTTCCTGTAAGGAAACGCTTAATTTCCCCATTATAAATTACCAGTGGTTTGCTAATCTAGATTTTAACCACAACTATATACCAACCATCTCCACTTTCTTAAGCGTACTATATATACATATTTATCTAAATGTATACATTTGTTTATGTCTGACTATGGATGTTTCAGAAAATGTTGGAGAGCCGGAGAAATAATTTACTTCAAAGTCCATCACGGTGTGTATAATCATAGACAAAAAACGGATATTTATACACGTTTGTTAGCGTGTGTATTTATATAAGTTTGTACGAGTGTGCGTGCGGTTTGATGTGATTATGAGGGAATCACTGATGACAGCTAGAAAGCAGCGCGCAAGAATTAAGTGACATGTGAAGAAAATCTACCGTCCTACCTATCGTGGACCTTATTTCAAACAGATCGACACGCGTCTGACCCTAAGCCATTTTCGGATGACCATTAAATTCTATTATCAGCGAAAAGGATCGACGCCATCTTTTTACTTCTTAATTTTTTGCTGTTTGTTCTATTTCTGTTTTCTTTCTTCCTGTCTGCATTTCTATACTTTCCACTTTTTTAAAAAATCTTCTAGTAAGTTCGTTCTTTCTTTTTTTTCATTCTGTCTTCCTTTTTAATGTCTGTCAGAATTTATATATTTCTCTTTTGTTTGATTGTTTGTTCCTTTCTTTCTTAATGTCTTTCAAAATTTATATATTTCCCTTTTCTTTCTTTCTTTCTTTCTTTCTTTCTTTCTTTCTTTCTTTCTGCTTGGTCTTTCGAGTTCCATTCTTTCTTTCTTTCTTTTTTTCTTTCTTTCTTAATGTCTGTCAAAATTTATATATTTCCCTTTTCTTTCTTTCTTTCTTTCTTTCTTTCTTTCTTTCTTTCTTTCTTTCTGCTTGGTCTTTCGAGTTCCATTCTTTATTTCTTTCTTTCTTTCTTTCTTTCTTTCTTTCTTTCTTAATGTCTTTCAGAATTTATATATTTCCCTTTTCTTTCTTTCTTTCTTTCTTTCTTTTTTTCTTTCTTTCTTTCTTTCTGCTTGGTCTTTCGAGTTCCATTCTTTCTTTCTTTCTTTCTTTCTTTCTTTCTTTCTTTCTTTCTTTCTTAATGTCTGTCAAAATTTATATATTTCCCTTTTCTTTCTTTCTTTCTTTCTTTCTTTCTTTCTTTCTTTCTTTCTTTCTTTCTGCTTGGTCTTTCGAGTTCCATTCTTTCTTTCTTTCTTTATTTCTTTCTTTCTTTCTTTCTTAATGTCTGTCAAAATTTATATATTCCCCTTTCTTTCTTTCTTTCTTTCTTTCTTTCTTTCTTTCTTTCTTTCTTTCTTTCTGTCCCGTCTTTCGAGTTCAAATCTTCTTTCTTTCTTTCTTTCTTTCTTTCTTTCTTTCTTTCTTTCTTTCTTTCTGCCCGGTCCTTCGAGTTCCATTCTTTCTTTCTTTCTTTCTTTCTTTCTTTCTTTCTTTCTTTCTTTCTTTCTTTCTTTCTTTCTGTCCCGTCTTTCGAGTTCAAATCTTCTTTCTTTCTTTCTGTCCCGTCTTTCGAGTTCAAATCTTCTTTCTTTCTTTCTGTCCCGTCTTTCGAGTTCAAGTCTTCTTTCTTTCTTTCTTTCTTTCTTTCTTTCTTTCTTTCTTTCTATCTGCCCGGTCCTTCGAGTTCCATTCTTTCTTTCTTTCTTTCTTTCTTTCTTTCTTTCTTTCTTTCTTTCTTTCTTTCTTTCTTTCTTAATGTCTGTCAAAATTTATATATTTCCCTTTTCTTTCTTTCTTTCTTTCTTTCTTTCTTTCTTTCTTTCTTTCTTTCTTTGCCCTTGTCTTAACTCCTTTCTTTTCTTTTCACAAATTCACCCCTTTCAATTATCTGCAACTCCTTTTCTCCATTTTCCCTTTTCTTTCGATTTAATTCACTTTATTGCAACCCTTTTACTCCTTAAATGGTGTTTCCTTTCTCCCTTTATTTAATCGCATATCAATACCTTTAATCTTTCCATCTTTTTTCTCACTCGATTCCTTCTCTTCAGAATTGTCCTTTTTCTCTTATTTTGTCCCAGACACATGCCATTATTACATTGCTGTCATATGGCGCAGTGTTTCTCCTGGTTCTTTCTTAACCACTTATTTCCCGTCTTGTCCTCTCTTATCTTTATTGAAAATAAAATGTATTTTCTGTTAGCCACTATAATGCTCAGACATTTCGATCCGATCGGATTTGAAAATGGTGTTATTAATAGATAACACACGATATGCAGATAGATAGATAGATAGAAACGACAGATGTAGATAGATAAGATAATGACAGTCTGTGATAGATAAATCGATAATGACAAACTGATATAGATAGATTGATATCTATCTAGCTAGCTCGCTAACTAGATAGAGAAATAATAACATACTGAGATGTATATATATATATATATATATATATATATATATATATATATATGCGTGCGCGCGTGTGTGCGCGCGTGTGTGTGTATAGAGAGTGAGATAGAAAAGATGAAAGAAACACACTTGAAAAGACAGAAAGAAAGAAACAGATTGGGATAGATAGATAGATAGATAGATAGATAGATAGATAGATAGATAGATAGATAGAAAGGACAGATATAGATAGATAAGATAATGGCAGACTGATAGATAAATAATGGCAGACTAATATAGATAGATTGATATCTAGCTAGCTAGCTTCATAGAGAAATAATGACAGACTGACATATATATATATATATATATATATATATATAGAGAGAGAGAGAGAGAGAGAGGAGAGGAGATAAAGATGGACTGAGATAGATAGCTGGGTAGATAATGAATACGAATTGGATAGAATCACAGAGATTACATTACATGAATATAATCATTATCATAAAAAAAAACGAAGAAAAACATAAATAAAAAAGCAAGAAGAAAGGATTGAACCTTAACTGCAAGAAGACAGAATGCATTGTTGTTAGCAAAAGGATGAACCCAAAATGCAAAATTCAAATCGAAGATACCAAAATGAAACAATTGTGGAAATTTTAAATATCTGGGAAGTGTTAGAACAAAAGCCAGAAAGTGTGACACTGAAAGGGACAAGAAGTTTTGAAGAACCATGATCGCCTACGTCCTGAGGGGACACTGCACATAGAGATGCATAAAAAGGAACTTGCAAAAAATGTTGGATGGGTGAATGAGGAATAAAGATAACACAGATGAATCGTATTTTGACATGTGCATAATATAACTCATTATTGACCAGCGGAAATAATTAGTATTAAAAATAAAAAGTTAAATAAAAGTCCGCTATTAATTTTAGATTTATAATTATCTCTCACTTTGTTCAGATAGATGAACACACAAATGCTCACACAAATACACACACATATATAAAATGAGTATGTATAAGTAAATATATGTAATTTACAGAAATAGACGTGCTAATTGAATTGAATAACAATGAAAAACAAAAATTGCTAAATGCAAACACTAATATATATGTGTGTGTGTATGTGTGTGTGATGAAGATGCTGAAAACAGACATAATCTTAATTTCATAATTAATGTTATTAAATGTTTGCAACTTTATTATAACGGCTTTAAACACATTTAAAGGTGTTATCGATGAAATATTATGTTACGTATTGTGGTTGGTATATATATATATATATATATATATATATATATATATATATTAAAAAAGAAAAACAAACCGCAATCTTTTTAGTTGAAATGTAGATTTTTTTCTTCAAGCAAAGTGTAGATATTTACATATTATAAAAATGAATTTTTTGCGGGTTAGTGATTCAAATGTCTTTCTTGGACTGGTGATAAGAGTCTATATATATATATATATATATATATATATATATATATATATATATATACATATAGTTCTCTTGTTAATATTTCGTTTTTTACGCGTAGTACGACGTCATAGAACTGCATTATGAATTTATCATTTCCGTCTGATATTAACAAGAGAACAATATGCATCTATATCGAAGAAGGTTGCGAAATAAGAAACACGTGTAACAGAATTATGGAAAATAGAGTATAATATATATTTTAAAATAAAAATCCACATTCCCACCAAAAAAACATCTGCTGCTTATCTTTTTAAAATATACATTTTTCTCTCGTTCGAAGAACTATGACTTCTATCTATCTATCTATCTATCTATCTATCTATCTATCTATCTATCTATATCTGTCTCTCTCTCTCTCTCACACACACACACACACACACACACACACACACACACACATATATATATATATATATATATATATATATATATGAGAGGGAGCAGCGAATAAAATTTAACATTTAATGTTATTTGTTGTTATAGAGATATATTTATAGATATGAACAGAAGCCAACTAGCTAGCTAGCTAGATAGATAGATAGATAAAAAGAAAGAGAGAAAGATTGAGTGAGTTATTTCTTTTATAGCGCTTATCAACCATTTGCAGGTTAATAAAAAAACCGAAAGCTTTTTTTTTATTGTAAGAATATTTTTTGAGATAATAATGATTCATTAATACAAATATTAAAATTTAACACATAGATGAGGGACAAGGAGGAGATTCATACCTTTCTCAAGGATATTTGCGCGTAAGTGAATCTAAAAAAACCCACTGGAACTGGAAAATTGGAAAAGGCTTCTCCTTCAATCAGCCTATCTATCTATCTATCTATCTATCTATCTATCCAGATAGATAGATAGATAGATAGATAGATAGATAGATAGATAGATAGATAGATAGATAGATAGCCTGATTGAATGACAGAGATAGATGGATATAGAGAGCGTTAAATCAGAATTGTCTTTTTAGTTTCATTCACTGGACTAGTAAACATACAAATGTAAGTCCGAACGCGTACATCTACAAGAAACTGAGCACGCCATACTATCATTTCCGTCTGATATTAACAAGAGAACAATATGCATCTATATCGAAGAAGGTTGCGAAATAAGAAACACGTGTAACAGAATTATGGAAAATAGTGTATAATATATATTTTAAAATAAAAATCCACATTCCCACCAAAAAAACATCTGCTGCTTATCTTTTTAAAATATACATTTTTCTCTCGTTCGAAGAACTATAACTTCTATCTATCTATCTATCTATCTATCTATCTATCTATCTATCTATCTATATCTGTCTGTCTGTCTCTCTCCACACACACACGCACACACACACACACACATATATATATATATATATATATATATAGCGCTCAAGATAGAGCCGACTTAATATACTTAGTATCCACTGTGTACTGTTCTCGCACACTAGCACGTGTCTCTTATGAGGACCGACTAAGCCGACTTGCATATCATAAGCACACATAAATATATCATTGCTTAGACAAAGGCAATCTGAAAAATGCCTTCATACAGACATTCAATTTAGACGAAAAAAAGTTTTAAAATCTATGGAAATTCACTAAAAATAATGCGTACGTATTAGTTAAAGACAAATCTTAATATATTAAAGTAAACTTAAAAGCAGCACTGGCATATATATATATATATATATATATATATATATATATATATATATATATGTATGTATGTATGTGTGTGTGTGTGTGTGTGTGTGTAAATTTAATTGATATTAATGATAACCAATGGAGGGAAAAATATGAATTTCAAGAAAGTCCAATAACATTCAAACCCAGTAAGCATTCCCTCTGTTTACAGAGAGAAGGCTCACAGGATCTGATATACAAGGACTCTAGAACCTTGAGGTCATATGAGCAGTGGGACCTCAATAAAATAGAAAAAAGGTCCACACTAAAATCAAAGACACAATTCCTACTATTTATAATATACTCTGTAATAGAAGAGCCAGAAGCATTAATTAATTGACTTTTCCTGGTATCCGGATTCAAAATGGGATGAAAGTGTTGCTTTATTCTCAGATCCAAACGTTGAGACGTCCACCCTATGTAGTCGAGTCCACAACTACATTTATATTTACAAATCACTGAATTGCTATATATATATATATATATATATATATATATATATATATATATATATATATTACATGAGGTACTTTTCTCCATAGGGGATCGTATATTGAAGTTGCTTTTAAAATAATACACATAGAAATTTCCCAGTTTAAATGACGTCACCTTCAGTGATTTTATATTTGTCTCATCAAACACGAGAAAACTGGAATTAACCAAAAACAATTACGTATCCATAAACAAAACACAATCCTTAAAAATGAATGTAGCAACATTCAGAAGTACTCGAGAAGAATAATGTAAAATATATATGAACTTTACCGATTATATAATACAACTAATTCGGAAATTTGAAAATGTTCATAAAAATTAGATAGAACCTGTGGGCGTTTTTTTTAATATATATATATATATATATATATATATATATATATATATATATATATATATATATATATATATATTATTACCTTTATTGTTTAATAGTATAATTATCTACTAACCCTTCTCAGGCAGGTCCATAGAGTTTCCTGTGTTTTGCCACGGCACATTTGTATCTCACACAATCTACTTGTAAAATAGTTTCATATTCTCTTAATTCCTCTTTACTGAAATAGTCTTTTCCTTCCATAATTTTAGCAATCTTTTGGATAACGTTATATAAAGGTTCTTCCAATAAGTTGGACCGATTTTAAATGTGAATTAAGTTTAAGCATCTAAGGATTTTTTTCTTTTCTTTCAGATTTAAAAACCTAAGTCCTTGGCAATTTCATCCATGGAAAGATTAACAATCAAACAACATGTTAAAGTTATCGAAGCCTATTACGAAAGTTGACAAACAGTAATGCAATGAGAAGTTCACAAGGTCGTATCATCTCTCGAAAACAGCGAAGTCAATTGGCCACCACGATTGTGCAACTTGACGCCTTTAGATTTCTTCTTTTGGGGTCATCTCAAAACTATGCTCTATGCCAACAAGCCAACAAAAATTCAACAG